GGGCGACGATACAAATTTAAATTTGGGACACTGCTGGTTATATCTGGGACAATACAAAGTAGAATTCGGGACAGTTGTGGGACACTGAGGAAAAAAGTTAATTTCGAGCCCTGGTTCTGTTCTGTCTTTGTGAATAGTTTAGCCTTGAAATAAAGGAGTTATTTTTGACACTTTAATCTGCATTTGGGTCCTGCTTCCTGCACACAGCGTAATATTACGAACCGACCTGAGATATGGGCCCAGCAGATCCGTTTGAGCAGGAACTATTGGATTATACCTTTTCTTTGTCTGACTGCGCTCATCGATGGATAGGAGCGGTCAGGGTTCAACAGCGAGATGCTGCTCTGGCAGAAGCATTCAACCTTACAATGAAGAATCAAGATTTGGTTAAATTCTTACCTGCCTGGCTTTGGATTACCTCACGGTTTGTTTTCCCGATCCTGATAGACCCAGGTCTCCCAATTCCCTTTTTGAAACCACACGCATCGGTGTGGTCCGTCTGGTGTCAGCCCCTGCTTCTCACCCAGTGTTTGCTACAGTCCAGGAGCCATTAGCTGGTACTCGTCTGGCTTTTGGAGGTCCACGGAGCCTCCAAACGGCTCCTAAAAGAAGGAGTCGCAAGGCCAGGTTAGCAGCACGAGCCCAAAGTGCCATGGTTCCAGCCCCAGTAGCCATGGTTACAGCCCCAGTTCTGGCCCCAGCTGCCATGGTTCCGGCCCCAGTTCTGACTCCAGCAGCCATGGTTCCGGCCCCAGTTCTGGCCCCAGCAGCTATGGTTCCGGCCCCAGTTCTGGCCCCAGCAGCCATGGTTCCAGACCCAGTTCTGGCCCTAGCAGCCATGGTCCCAGACCCAGTTCTGGCCCCAGCAGCCATGGTCCTGGCCCCAGTTCTGGCCCAAGCAGCCATGGTTCCGGCCCCAGTGCTGGCCCCAGCAGCCATGGTTCCGGCCCCCGTTCTGGCCCCAGCAGCTATGGTTCCGGCCCCAGTTCCGGCTCCAGCAGCTGTGGTTCCGGCCCCAGTTCCGGCCTCAGCAGCCATGGTTCCGGCATCAATTCCGGCTCCAAAACCGGCCCACATAGCCATGATCCAGGCTTCAGCTCCGGACCTTACAGTCATGTTTCCGGCTCCAGAACTGGATCTTACAGCCATGTTTCCGGCTCCAGAACCGGCCCATGCAGCCATGATTCCGGCTCAAGTACCGGGCCCAGCAGCCATGGTTCCGGCCCCAGTTCCAGCCACGGTTCCGGCTCAAGTACCGGCCCCAGCAGTCATGGTCCCGACTCCGGCTCCTCGTTATCTGTTGACTCATCGGCCGACGCCAGATCCCTGAGTCCTGTCGTCATACCGGCCGACTCTAGCACCTCGTCTCCTGCTGGCTCTCCAGCCGACGCCAGCTCCCCGTGTCCTGTCGGCGTACCGACCGACACAAGTTCCTACCCGAGTCCCCTCTCAAGTTCCTACCCGAGTCCCCTCTCAAGTTCCTACCCGAGTCCCCTCTCGAGTCTCCTCTCGAGTCCCCTCTCGAGTTCCTTCTCGAGTCTCCTCTCGAGTTCCCTCTCAAGCCCTCTCTCGAGTTCCCTCTCAAGTCCCCTCTCGAATTCCCTCTCGAGTCCCCTCTCAAGTCACCTCTCGAGTCTCCGTTCAAGTTCCCTCTCGAGATCCCTTTCAAGTCACCTCTCAAGTCAAATCTCAAGTTTCCTCTTGAGTTCCCACTCAAGTCCCTACTCATGTGCCGTTGGAGGTCCCGCAGACTACTCTTCTGCCGGGGGTCCTGCCAACCCTATGTCCTGTGCCGTTGGAGGTCCCGCAGACTGCTCTTCTGCCGGGGGTCCTGCCAACCCTGTGTCCTGTCCCGTTGGAGGTCCCGCCGACTACTCTTCTGCCGGGGGTCCTGCCAACCCTATGTCCTGTGCCGTTGGAGGCCCCGCCGACTACTCTCCTGCCGGGGGTCCTGCCACCCCTAAGTCCTGTGTCGTTGGAGGTCCCGCAGACTGCTCTTCTGCCGGGGGTCCTGCCAACCCTATGTCCTGTACCGTTGGAGGTTCCGCTGGGGGTCCTGCCAACCCTTTGTCCTGTCCCGTTGGGGGTCCCGCCGACTACTCTCCTGCCGGGGGTCCTGCCAACCCTATGTCCTGTCCCGTTGGGGGTCCCGCCGACTACTCTCCTGCTGGGGGTCCTGCCAACCCTATTTCCTGTCCCGTTGGGGGTCCCACCGATTACTCTTCTGCCGGGGGTCCTGCCAACCCTAAGTCCTGTGCTGTTGGAGGCCCCGCCGACTACTCTCCTGCTGGGGGTCCTGCCAACCCTGTGTCCTGTCCCGTTGGAGGCCCCGCCGACTACTCTTCTACCGGGGGACCTGCCAATCCCTTGTCCTGTTCCGTTGGAGGTCCCCCCGACTACTCTTCTATCGGGGGTCCTGCCAACTCTATGTCCCGTGCCTTTGGAGGTTCCGCTGGGGATCCTGCCAGCTCTATGTCCAGTCCAGTTGGAGGCCCCGCCATCACCTGTCCTGCCGGGGGTACTGCCAACCCCTTGTCCAGTTCCGTTGGAGGCCCCGCCATCATCTGTCTCGCCGGGGGTGCTACCAACTCCTGGTCCTCTTCTGTGGGGGATCCTGCCGAAGCCTGTCCCACCGGCTCCGGTTCCTGTTCGGCCGACACCGGGTCCTGCCCGGCCTCCGGAGCTGTTTGGCCTTCGCCCCACCCTGAACTCTGCCTTGCCCCCGGGCCGTCCGCCCGAGTCCCCCTTTTTGAACTCTGCCTTGCCCCCGGGCCGTCCGCCCGAGTCCCCCCTTTTTGAACTCTGCCTTGCCCCCGGGTCGTCCGCCCGAGACCCCTTCCTTGAACTCTGCCTTGCCCCCTGGCCGTCCGCCCGAGTCCCCCTTTTTGAACTCTGCCTGGCCCCCTGGCCGTCCGCCCGAGTCCCCCTTTTTGAACTCTGCCTTGCCCCCGGGCCGTCCGCCCGAGTCCCCCTTTTTGAACTCTGCCTTGCCCCCGGGCCGTCCGCCCGAGTCCCCCTTTTTGAACTCGGCCTTGCCCCCGTGCCGTCCGCTCGAGTCCCCCTTTTTAACTCTGCCTTGCCCCTGGGCCGTCCACCCGAGACCCCTTCCTTGAACTCTGCCTTGCCCCCTGGCCGTCCGCCCGAGTCCCCCTTTTTGAAACTCTGCCTTGCCCCCGGGCCGTCCGCCCGAGACCCCTTCCTTGAACTCTGCCTTGCCCCCTGGCCGTCTGCCCGAGTCCCCCTTTTGAACTCTGCCTTGCTCCCGGGCCGTCCGCCCGAGTCCCCCTTTTTTAACTCTGCCTTGCCCCCGGGCCGTCCGCCCGAGACCCCTTCCTTGAACTCTGCCTTGCCCCCGGGCCGTCCGCCCGAGACCCCTTCCTTGATCTCTGCCTTGCCCCCGGGCCGTCTGCCCGAGACCCCATCCTTGATCTCTGCCTTGCCCCCGGGCCATCCGCCCGAGACCCCTTCCGGGTCCTCCGCTGTCAGCCCCAGTTATTTTTTAACCCAGTAGTTTTAAGAGTGTATACAATTTCAGATTCAAACAAGTATGAGAGCACTCTCATAATAACGTAACACAATCAGAGACTGGATATATCCCCCTCCGCGGAGGACCACGCTCGATCCTCGGTCCTCAAAGTGTATTTAGAGAAATGAGATGTCCTTCAACATGGCGCGCTGAAATCCATTTCCGGGTCACTACCGGAGGACCGAGGATTCGAGGAGTCGAGGAGGGGAAATGAGAGGATTGAGAAACCTTCATTGTCTTTCCTGTCAGCCTCTATGTTTGTCACTATCGGGTTTTTTCTGGATGCTCCCTCGTGCTACCTGTTTATAGATTCATGGTTTTTGTTTTGTTTTTCATTGTCAACAGCTTTTTGTAAATTAAAGCTCGCCTTTTGTTACACTCTGAATCCCGCTTCTCCTCAAACTGCATTTGGGTCCTACCTTACCTCAAAACGGGGGGTTACGTATTGTAACCCTAGTTCTATAAGCACAGGCGGAGCCCTCTACTTGACGCTATGGGTACTCCCCTCATCAATGATAAGCGAGCGTTCACACACTGAAGTTGTATTAACTCCTGACTGTCATCCTACACCCTCTTCAGCGAGCGGTATAGGAAGACAGGGCCCCTAGGTAGAGGGCTCCGCCTGTGCTTGTAGAACTAGGGTTACAATACGTAACCCCCCGTTCTATCTCACACAGGCTGGATAACCGCCCTGTCGTCCTACACGTTGACCCACCACACTGCCCCTGACCGACTGTTGGTTAACAGCCACCGCACCCCAACTTCTTCTCATCCGGTTGTGACTGTGGAGAAGTCGGGGCCGCAGCCTACTTGGCTGGGTAGAGCCTAATTGGTCTGAATAAGCCCATAGCTCCACCCTGCAGGTGCCAGCGCAAGTGACTAACACTGCGCAAATACGCTTCCCAGGTCCCTAAGGAGCATGGGGAGAGCGTAAGTGCACCATGTCCTCCACACTCACACACACTTACCTCGTGTAGAGTGTGCATGGACCGTAATGAGGAAGGCTGGAGGACTCTCTCCGGGTAGGCGGGGGAGAGTCCTCCAGCCCCGTTTGGGGCGCACCATGTTCCCCGGGTCCCTAAGGACCACACAGCTGTGCTTCCATTCCCCATAAAACTCTGTTAGGGGACGTGCAAGCAGTTGTGGAGCCGCAGATATGAATCTGTGGTACTCTCTGGCAGCCCACTCCGCCACCAAACCCTCCATAAAAGGAAGTTTGGCCCATGGGTAGGGTTGGGTATCTTTGAATTTCCACGATTCCGATTCTAGTTTTCGATTCCGATTCTTAACGATTCTCAATTCCGATTCTTTGAGGGGCAGGGTAAAAAAATGATACATGCTTCTTTCACCAAAAAAACAACATTTATTTGAGTGACTGAAGCTACAACACAGCAACAGTCCAACTTTTAAAGGAAACCCCCCCCCCCCCCCCCATTTAAAAACAGTTCTTATTGAGGAAAACAAGCATATCTGCCTTCTCAGGCAGTATGCGTGAGCGTTCAGCACAGATTGTGTCACCAGCAGTCGAGAAAACACGTTCACTTGGGTGTAGAGGAAGCCTGGACACATAAATATGAGAAGGCCATGTCTGACAGGCAAGGATAGGTTGTTCTCATGTTCCACCACCAGGCCGCAGCGTCATCAGAAGTAACTATGCGTGGCATAGCCTTGTACATGTGCAGCTCCTTCTCTACCTGGTCCTGGATGGACATGGAATTCTGCTGTGGTGTCACCTTTTGGGCATCCTCATCAGCAAACAGCTCCTCCAATGGGGTCATTTTGGGGGTTTTGCAGGGATGCATTTGCTAAATGAATAAAGAACAACATATCACACAAAAGGAAACTTCCATTCAAAGCATAGATCATGATTAAGAAACCTTGCATATATATATTTTTTGCAAACATACACTTACATTCTCCTCTGCCTCACTCTCCATTCCTTCCATGTTCTCGTCACCATCTCCTCCACAGTCTAGATCTGTTGACTACGGATAACAATTGGCATTATTTATGATCAAAGATTTTAATGATTGAGGAGACATTATTTGTTCATGAATAACATTTCACCTTCTCAGAGTCGGTCAGATTTTTGGCCAGGAACTTCCCCTTGATCCGGTCCCAGACAGAAGCATTATCGTCCATCTTTTGTTTGAAGCGTGGATCCAAAGCAGTAGCCTCTTCCAGAAAGCTCCTGATTTCATCACTCTGAACACAATTATTGAAAATGTAGGATTAAGTCATGAATATAATTATTTAATGTATTCTTCATTAACTTCTTTATAGCCTCAGTTATTTTACCTGGTAACGCTTTGACAGATTTCCCCAAACTTGCTTTTTAAGGTTGGACACAAATACTGTGTCCCCATCAGTAACAGTAAAATGCATCTCAAGCTTTTTGAGAATGGGCAGAATCTGTCCAGATGTCGGGTTCTTTTCCGAAGAAACGCAGAGGGTGGACGTGTACATAACCCTCATCAGTCTGATGAAGTCCTCTGCCCGCCTGAGGTCTTCGTCAGTGAACCGGGCAAGTCTGAGTGATAAAGAATATTTGTATTATTAACTATAAGTTACAAATATTACATTTTAAACAAAAACAATGCTGTTTGACAAGGGAACTGCTCCTCTTTAAATCCATCACTTATCCACACTAATCAGTATAGTTTACATTGCTAGCTACTTTTTAAGTCATCTACATTTGCATTACCACATGCTTATAGTGACAGCTCTCTGCACTAGTTCTGGTGGCTAGACAATCACTTCCCTGATAATGAAGTATTAGTGTTTTGTATGAGTCATATAACTACTAAGCTACTGGATGCCATTTTCTTTTGGATCCATAAAGTAGCTATATTTTTTATCTATCAGTCTGACTACCTGTCCCTCTCCATAGGCTTTCTCAACCGTTGATCCAAGCTGGCTGCCTGAATTGCTGGGTATTGCTCGAAAAATCTCTCCAGCATTAGGTGCAGAGAATTCCAGCGAGTTCTCACATCAAGTATGAGCGAGTGTTGATGCAGCTCTGACAAACAAGAAAATCACAAATACTTTAACATATGGGATTTCAATTTAACATGGAGTAGTTATCATTTGACATGTTTGTTTTACATAGTTTTTGAAATGTTAATACCTGAAAAACGCATACAGTGCTTTGTATTGAAAAAAACAAGCATTATTTAATTAAATACAATTCACAACAATCAAATGAATGTAACTCAGTGAGTCTTACTTAGGATAGCCTGCTTCTCCTGGAGCACGGTCTTAGCCATTGATGACCTCTTAATCCACACAAGTGCACGGATCTTTGCTATCCATTGAGACATGATGGCCAATGAGTAGAGACTCTGTGCTGCCAGATTCAAAGTGTGAGCAAAGCAGCCCAGCTTCACAAATTGGAGCCTGTGTATGGCTACATCCATATTTGCAGCATTGTCAACTGTGACTGCCACTATTTTGTCAAAAATGCCAAAATCTGTCAAGACATCTGCAATCTCCTCTGCTATGACGATTCCTGTCTGGGCTTTGTAGACAGCCTTGGTTTGGAGCACTTTTTGCCTCATTTTGCCTTCCACTAAATAGTGTGCTGTGACAGTAAGGTAGTGGTCTTGCGCAATACTAGTCCAGCCGTCAGATGTGAGGGCAACATGGCTAACTTCACTAAGCTCAGTGATTATATTTGACTTTTCAATCTCATACCAAGATGGTATTAAGTGATTTGTCAGATAATCTCTGGTAGGGGGGGTGTAGTTGGGGTTAAGAGTAAAAAGCATGTCCCTGTAAACACAAAAATGATATTGTTATTGTGGGTGAGGTCTGGGCAGCTAGAAGATTTGTATAATTGTCTTTGCGTACCGAAATGTAGGTGCTTCTACTTCTGAGAAGGGATGCAGCCTTTTCACCACAAAAGCGGTGACTTTTCTGTGGCACTCCTCACGTTTCTCTACTGTCATCTTTCCCTTTGCTGCTAAGGTGAATGGGTTGACACGGGCTGGGACGGGCTTGTTAGCTTGAGCCGTTGTAGCCGCGCAACTACGCGACCGCAAACTTTCATCTACAAAAATATAGAATATCCACACATTTTACACACAACCTCTCAAACAAAACAACCATCCTTTAGTTTTGAGTGATGTTAACTTACATACCTGATTGCGAGGGCTCCGCTGAGGGAGTGCTCGGTGTTGGTTGAGCCGGGACGACAGCGGAAGACGACGGTGGTTGTGAGGCGGACGGAGACTGGCGAAACAGGTTGAAAACGGTACACTCCTTGATCAGTATACCGTGCAGGCGAAGGTGTTTCGTCATATTAGTCGTGTTCCCTCCTTTGGAGGAAATAAGTTTGGAACAGGTGTTGCACTCTGCCGACCCATTGTCTTTCCTAACAAAGTGAAGCCACACTTTAGAGCGTCTACCGCTCATGGTGGTCCCAGGTTAAGCTGTGTAGAAGTGTAGGTACAACGCTACATTTCCCGCCCCAGTAGGCTACGGAGAGCGGTGAGAGAAATTTCCTCAGGCATCGAAAAGCGGAACCGAAATTCACATTTCTAAACGATGCCGTTGGAATCGAAATGTTGGAACCAGTTCCAGTTCGGAACCGGTTCTCGGTACCCAACCCTACCCATGGGGGGCTGAAACAGAAAGGGCCGATTTTCTACTGAGGTCCGTGAACGCACCGCACTCCATCATAATGTCATTTTCACACAGATGGTGAAATGCACTGACTGGAGCGACCACACTAGGCAAGGTGTGTTTCCTAACAACAACACGCCGGCCACAATGTCCCTGCACGCGCATAGCGCTTTGACAGCACTTCCTGCGCTTTATCACACTCACATGCCCACTGGCTGTCTCCTTTACTGGAGTTACAACTGGGGTGGCGAGTGGGGAATCGTGCCTCATAATGGGTGCCCAATTATCATCGTAAGAAACGGATTTTGACGATTTCAACGAGACATTATGGGGGAATGTGGAATTGTGGAGAGAGATGACTCTGGGATGAATGCAATCTTTTTATTGACCACATTTTTCATACACACAACACTCTTCATTCGTTCTGGGAGGAGGCGGAAGGATTCACCCTTGCGTCTTGGGTGGCGAGACACACCTCTCTCGGCGCACCCCACCCTGAAGCTCTTTGTCGGTGCGGAGCCGGAGCAGAAGCCTGTCGGGATCGTGCCGCCTGTCTCCGCGGTTGCCGGTATTGAGCCGGCTCCGGGGGACTAGCCGAGGAAGTAGAGGGAGCAGCGGGAGCCATGGGTGCTATGGACCGGCGCCTCTCTCTCCTTCTCACAGTGACACCACGCTCTGCTCTTTGAGGAAGAGCCAGCGGCAGCATGTGGCTGAGCTGCGTCCTCTCTTCCTCCAAGCGTCTGAAGCGCTGTGTGACCGATGTGATCGATCCAAAGAGCCCTTCCATGGATACGGGGGCCCCAAGGAGATCATCACGGTCTTTCCTAGAGAGCGCGGTGAGTCCCAGCCACACGTGACGTGACCCCACTGTGGCCAGGGACTAGTGTTGCACGGTGTATCGATACTTGAAAGGTACCGCGATACCCTGCCGTTAAAAACGTTACGATTCCTCCGTTTCATTAGTATCGGTACTTTAAGAATGACGGGGAAAAGTACTCCGGTGAGAAAGCGCCGTTTTAATAAGAGCTGGGTGTGTTCAGCGCTCTGCTTCCACTCCCTGCACTGCAGCCGTGCCTGCAGTCCCGCCCCTCTCAAGCACGCTCAAGTGCCTCCCCTCTCTCGTGCACGCGCTAACTGCCAGAGCATGTGAGAAAACGAGAAGCATGGCTGCAAGTGGGAGTGCAACTGCCGCTGTGCCTCGGCTTGTTGACAAAAAAGCGAAATTTGGAAGTATTTGAGCTATATCTCTGACAGTGAGGGCAAGCCTACGGACACCACAAGGCCTGTCTGTAAGAAATGTATTAATTTTATTTAATATTAATTCTTGTCTTATTTTAGTATTTATTGTTTTCATTGTTTAAAAGTTTGTTATGGTTCTGGTGTGAAATAAAGCACAATAATTACATTTAAGACTGTTTCCCTTTTTTTAAGAAAAGTATCGAAAAAGAATCGGAATCGCAATTCTTGACTTGGTATCGGTATCGAAACCAAAATGTTGGTATCATGACAACACTACCAGGGACATTACACGGTCAGCTGCGGTAGCCACACCATGGATCAGATTATTCATCTGTCCAATGCTGCGGTCCAAATAATCATTCCGGTCCTGAGATGGGGAGGGGAGGGCGTCCTGCTGAGGAGTAATCAGCGACACGCCCAACACACCCAGATTATTTGCCGCTGCTGCCATCTGTGCTCCGAGACGGAATATTTTTGTCAAAATACTCCAGCGTCTAACCGGGCCGTAGAACCCCTGGCGGAGGCGGCTCGGCGGCAGTGGTGGGTGAGCGGTAGCGCTCCGCCGCCATGGTCATCGCCGCCATGGTCATCACCAGGGGGAAGTCCTGGCGGACAGACCTAGGCGGACAGACCTAGGCGGTAGACCTTCGTGGAAGCCGGACCCGGAAGTGCCCGACAACGAGGAGTCCTCGTCATCCTCCTCCCCGGGGAACGGAGCCATCCGTGCCGCTGGAATTGCGAACGTAAATGGCACCTCCCCGGTCATGTCCTGGTCCCTCATCTCCACCACATCGAGCTCCTCCTGGTAATCTGTGTCGCCAACACACGGTGAGACGTAATGCGTCTGGAAATGACGTCTGAGCTGTGGAAGCAACCGGCAGGCAGAGCAGGACGGCGAAGGCTTCACGGCGTCCACGGCGTGGTCAGGCCCCAAACACTCAAAACAGAGGTGGTGGGGATCGGCGCCCGCTATCAAGGACAGGCTCTGGTCTCAAGGATTGGCGACTCCATGAAGGTATGATACTCTTTCACTTTCTTTCTTCTTCTTCCAAACATTTCCACCTTTCTCTGTGTTGCTGCACACTGAAGAGAAAAAGGATGACAGTCAGCCGCCTTATATACTGTGGGCCTGCGGGCGCATTCAGGTAGGCTCGCCCTGATTGGCCGGCTACGTTTAAACGACTTCAGTGTGTGAACGCTCACGTATCATTGATAAGGGGAGTACCCATATAGTCTAGTAGAGGGCGGAGCCTGTGGGAGATAGAACCTTGACAGTTATTTTCAAAACACTTTTTTTTTTGTTGCATTTACTATGTCATCCAACAACCTGCTTTTAATTGAGAAAACTAAGTGTCGGATAGCGTTTTTCAAGAAATACCAGTCGCATTGTTAGGCGCAAAGTTCAATAATGAATTTAAAAGTTGTGTATTGCCAGTTACCCTCAGAGTCCAGTGATAAGAAAGTTCAACTTTTGAAGTGGTTACAAATAACTCTGGTTCTATCAACTCCGCCGTCTGAAGACATGTCAAATGTCCATGTTAGAGTTCAGGACCTTTCTCCATGTTTCTGTCCCCGCCACTTTTTTCTGTTTCTGTTCATGTGAGCATTGCAGCAGTCTTACGGCCCGTCCACACACAGGCATGAAAACAATCTTTCAAAGCTTCGCCCATTCACTTGAATGGGGTGACGTAGAAGATTTTTAATCTTCGCCGAACTGCATTGTGGGGAGCGGAGCATGGCTTTGCAAGCATCGTGAGTATCAAAAGTTGAGCAATGTTCAACTTTTGATGCTCCCGATGCTTTCGAAGCTGGCATCAGCCAATCAAATCCCGTTTATGCAAATGTGGAGTCTATTTTTATATAACATTACAAGACTGATTGTTATTATTACATTATGCTTATTGTGCTCATGAGATTGCTATAACTATAGAATAAATAGACACAATCACTAATCCCAGGTTCTGATGGGTTAGATACCAACGAGGGGAATAGTCAGAAGAAAGTTTTAGCTTGCAATAGAAAGTAGCAGAAGCCAGATGTAGGCACTGTAGGAACAATGAGTTATTGAGGCTATGGCCTTGGCCGCCTGGGTTAGCTCCGCGCCCACGCATAGCTGGGAATCAGTATAACCAAGATTCCACTTTTCTGTAGAAGCTTCCTCAAAACAAATTACGTATGATGGTGCCAGAGTAGGGAGGGACTTCCACAGGCCGGCCGAATGCTGATTGGAGGATCGTGTTGCCAAGAGACTCTATCTGAGTCTGCGCACCAACCAAAGAGAACCAAGTCTAAACCGCGGTATCTCTTCAGCTAGTCTTGACCAATCATAAATGTACGGGCAACGCCCTGTGTAATAAAAATGTATTGTCGCACGAGGTTCGAGGCTCTTGACGGATTTGGTGGTTACAGATTACAGCTTTGCTGCCTGTGATTCCCAAAGACGTGATGAGTCCTTGGCCAAGTGAATATATATTTTGCTCTCTTTACAATAAATAGTTAAACTTAGAAGTTGTCTGTCTTTTCTGGAATTCTGAACCCAACACAAATCCCGCCAGTACAAGCGCTAGCCAATCAAACCGCGTGCAAGCTGGGAGAGCCCGACCGCAGTTCATTTCCTCATATTCCAAACGAGAAATTACGGTAGCAAATCACCCGGTTCTTTACGACCAGAACTATTTACCGGGATACAAACCGGAGGAGCGAGGCATGGAGGGAGGTGGCAGAGACAGTGGGTGAAACTGGTAGGTTTTCGCCTGTTTGGGGATTTTATATCCAGTTTACTTCATTTTAACATTGCTATTGCTTTGTATGTCGGGGGCGGGAGATTCATGTGATTGGTTGTTGGTCGCCTGGGCGCGTGAAATCGCCAAGCTTCAGACACGCCCAGCATCAAGATTTTTCAACATTTTTTTTCATGCCTGTGTGTGGACGGGCCGTTGAGTCTCTCTGGAGGAGCTATGACCGAGGGTACACTGGTGTATTCTCCGGAGTCGATTTCAGCCAACAGTGATGTTTAAAAGAGGTGTGACGCATGGCTGGACTTATGTCAACGAAGCACAGCTCTGCAACCTGTTCCCGTTGTGATAAGTTATTTAAGATGATCAAATGTGCATCAGACTTCCTGCCTTTTACCGTTTGTTTACTCACTAATTATATCCCCTGGATGTTAGGCTATTTCATTTTTTAACAGAACTGCTTTCATTGTGATGCGATGTTTACAGTGAGAACATCTGCTGAGGTTAGTGCAGAAAGCAGAACAGTGTGTATAATATATATCGCTTAATAATATATGTAACAGGCCTACATTACATACTTTATTTGTATGCTTTAGGAGACATCTAAGTAGATATGTTTCATGAAACCATATAGTGACACCATTTCACATAATAAAATATA